TGCCTTCTTTGTGCCACTGCATACAGTCCAGTTTCATCCCCAGCAACAATTTGAGTCAATACTTAATCTTTATCTACTCTACAAAAGTCCAGAGCACTCCACACGCTGTTAGTCATGTTAGGATGATCGTGAAGAATTTTAAAAATGGTTATATCTGATTCTCCTACTATTTCTGCGAGCTGTTTCTTCTTAAGTCGGGCAACTTCCAGTATTTTCGACTTTTTGAATGATTTCCGAAATGGTCACCTCGATCGGCCAGCCTGGCCGTGGCTCGTCTTCAAGTGAGTCTCTGTTTTACCTAAAGAGGGTATGTCACTTGTAAACCATGGTTTTACCTGGGCAAGAGTCCTCGTAGATGGATGACATCTCTTCCAGCATGGATTGAACTGATTTTCCTTGCTTGATAAAGAACTTTATAACAGCGCGGTACTCGATGTTCTCCATATTTCACAATTTGTTCCCGATTGACTTGTTTCGTCGACGATAGTTCAAAGACTACTGACCTAATTACGATAAAACTTGGTATTTATACTAATAATGAGCTGTTTAATTCGTAATGACTCGATTAAGTACCCCCACTAATGACATATCTACCTATTCTGTGAACTTAAAATACATACGTAGGAATTCACATATATAGAAAGCGGAAATTCGAATGTTAATTATCTTGAGGCTCCCTATGTCAAGGTTGACTTTTTCGCAAGCGGTATATGCATATGTATATATATGCTGATCATGGATTTCGTTACGTTTAGCCGTTTTCTCTCTTTTCTGAGGGAATGGTCGTTTACTTATCATCATCCAACCTTTTCTATCTTTATTTGTGGAGGAAAGGGAAGGATACTTTTGGAAGTAGGGGACTTTTACCTAACATAACGTTTTCTCCTATGGGCTCTTTCCCACCAAAACCTAATAAGGGATAGCACATGTAATTATTCAGTTTTCAATTAGTTAGTATATAATTTGAAGAGGCTAGTATATAAATTGGAGTTGTTCAACTAATCGTAAGTAAGTACCAAAGTAACTAATCTAATGTAACCGAACCTAGGCGGTATGTAATTAATGTATCAACTAATTAATTTATGTGTGACCGTTTAGTATTTTTGTACTGATCATTTTGGTAATAAAATATTGACCAAAGGTTGAGTAACACACTGACGGAAAATTGATTTAAATATTGATCACTTAATTCGTTGTCATTTTTAACCGATGAAAAAAAGAGGCGGTTCTCAAGTCGACGCGTATATATTTTTTTTATTTATGTATGACCACGCATAACTTTTTACAGAGTAGTCTGATTTTGATAATTATTTTTTTATTAGAAAGGATATACCCCGAAGTTGGTCCCTTATAAACTTGGAAAAAGTCTAACCCTAAGGGTAGGAAAATAGGGGATGATTTATATTAGGAAAATAATAGTAGTAGTGGTAGTAGTAGTAGTAATAAGTAGATTATAGTTACAAAAAATTAAAAGAAATAACCAAATGAAATTAACAATGCAATGGTTATTTCTTTAAATTTAAGGTAACTTAGAGATCTTTGTTTATTGATTGTTTAGCGCCGACTCAAAATTACTTACTTAGTTAAAGAACTTAGTTATTAAAGTTAATAAAATAAAGGCTCATTATTTTTTGCTTTTTAGTTTTTTCGGCGGTTTAATTTTTTTGTTAAAAAGTTTTTATATAAGATATGCTAGATACAAAGTTTCGTTTTTCCGCTCGACATGAAGAATTAACAAACCATTTTCAAAATTAATTTCGTTGACTTATTTGATGTTGGATCGGCTTTCTCGATTTACTTTCGATTCTGTATTCGCATTCATTCTCATTGCCGAATCAAAACGAGAAATCATTCAAGCAGCAACGAAACCACTTTCGGTTCAATTCGCGTGTGTAAAATCACTCGACGATGTGCGGCACTGGCTTTGACAACGACGCGACGCCGTGTCTCGTGCAATCGTACTCTCTCTCTCTCTCGTCTCCCGACCGTCGCGGCGCTGCGATGCCATGGCACTTGTAGTCGATTGCCTGTAGTTCGAGGACGAAACGAAGAACTTGTCCCCTAATAGCTTCAATCGCAATGAACGCATATTATACTAAAAAAAAAAATGTTTCGATGGTTCGTCATAATAATTTTGATTTCGGTACGCAGATATGAAATGCAATATACATGGTGTGATCAAAAAAGGATCGGACTATTGGATTTACTGTTTTATTTTAATAATAGGTACATCTTAGTCTCCTTTAAGGAAACCCCCTTGATCGGCCTTACACTACCCCCCAACGTTTCTTCTACCTTTTCGAAGTGCTTTTTAAGTATATTTTCTCATGATGACATTGATTAAGTCCTTTTAAAGTCGATCTTATTTTTAGAAACAAAAACATTCTTCAGGAAACTCATCTGGGGAGTAGGGTGGTTGAGGTACCACCACCGTCTTATCTTTAGACAAAAATTCGCTTACAAGCGAATATGTGAGCCATTGCGATGTAGAGGTATATCATCCAATTCTGGTTACGTCAAAACTTAGGTCGCTTCCCCAACCTGTGCATCTTAATATCTTCAAAACCTCTAGGTAAATAAAATTCCTTGAAATTTGTATTGAATTATCCTTTGCAAATTGAAAAAACTTTCTGTGAGTCAAAACATTGTGACCGGTTCATTGATTCATCTCTGAAAGCTTTTCTATCTCTGTGGCACTTTTACTAAGCACGAAATAAGATTTAACCCATACATGTTGTTTTCCGAATATTTTATTTTCACTGATTGTAGGTTCTGACAAGTATTGCCATGACTAACACACTTTCGTAATTATCGCAACATATCCTTCCTTAGTATAGCAGTATTAGCATCTAGCAAGGAGGAGTAAGAGATAGCTTTAAGTAATATGGAAGCGATATTGATAAAACAGTATTGTATGAAAATAAATAAAAGTAAAACAAAAATAGAAGAATATAAAAATAGGAGACGAAAAATTAGAACAAGTGGCTGATTTTAGGTATCTAGGAAGTCAGATAAGACACGACGGAAGGAGTAGTAGGGATACAAAGCAGACCATAGCGCAGGGTCGAGTCGCCTTCAATGAAAAGAAGTCTCTCTTATGCTCGCTAACGGTTAATTTAGAAATTCGAAAAAGATTGTTAAAGGTACATGCTTGAATCGCGGCGCTGTACGGGTGCGAAACATGGACGGTGGACGCGGAGGAAAAAAAAAGATTAGGTGCGTTCAAACGTTCAAAATGTGGTATTACAGGCGAATGATGAGGATACCGTGGATAGAGAAGGCTAGAAATGAAGAGGTCTTAGAAAGAATATGAGGACAGAGGACTCTATGGAAGTCAATAAGAAATAGGCGAGATAGGTTAGTAGGACACCTTCTCAGGCATAAAGGTCTAGTGAGAGACATATTAGAAGCAGAAACGGAAGTTAGGAGGGGTAGAGGTAGACCTAGATTATGTTACTGTTCCCAAATAGTTAAGGATGTGGGTTGTTCTAGTTTTAGGGAAATGCGAAAATTACCTCAGGGTAGGAAATAGTAGAGACCTTATAATGATGATCCTTCTTTAGAGTTCTCTTTTCATTTGAGAATCTTAATTTCTTTAATTTGATTGTACTGATTTCTCTCGTCAGAATTGTTTCGTTAAACTTTAGGTTTTTGTGGCTGGCTAGTTTTTTACTAGAATTTTTAAAAGTAACATATTTTTTCTTTAAATACTGTGGTACTGAGTGGTGGGACAAGTACACATTAAAAATTGGTTTAAAAGTGTCAGTTTGGACAATGAGAATTATATTAGGCTTAATACTTGCAAGAATACATTTTCGACGAAAATTTATACAAACGAAATTAGTTAAACTTAATGTAATTTACTGGAATGTCCAGAAATAAACGAATGCAAGTATAGAATCATAAACATGATAAAGGTAAGAGTTGATTTTTTAAACCAAAACCAAGGGAAAATCTGGTCCTGATTATAAATATAATCAACTTATTTGTTATCCTTGCCTGAATCTTTATTGAAGTGAAACTTATTTACGCACGGTAGAGTAAGTTCATTTCATGCGAGTTGCTATGTAACGAAATCATGCAACGCATTTCCCCCACTGTCTGTCCCTACGTATGCTCAGATCTTTAAAACTACGGAACGGATTTTAATGCGTTTTTTTTTTTTTTATAGATAGAGTAATTTAAGAGGAAGATTTATATGTATAATACATGCATAATATAATAGAGAAACACTGATAATTTTAGAGGTTTGTAATGTGATGTAAATAAACACATTCTCTTGCGCTTACATTGCAAACGCTGCCTGAACCCTACGAGATCAAAATAATATACTACAGTATTGTACACCTTAAAAAGCTCTACGAAAAAGTCCGCGATGGTATGTCTATCTCTTAGGGATAACCCACAATAACCATTTTTTATCCTTTACTTTTTACGAGAAATAATGACTTATTTACGGAGCGATTTTAAGTAATACAGCATTAATCCTTATCCAATTAAGTACCTTTACATACAATGTGCATTTAATATAGATCAATATGGCCCAAACAGCATGTAATCTAAATGAATATTTTCGAAGATATTACAGACGTAAAATGCAGGGACATAGCGGTTGCGGCGGTACCGGCCGGTTTGTATTGTCTAATGACAAAAAAGCTGTAATTGTTGTATATAAAGACATTCTATAGTATATTTACTATCAGCGTTGCACCCGTGCGAAGCATAGTGTACAAATAATACCATTAAACCAATTCCTTATCCCGGTATGTTTGAAGAAGTTTCACTTCAATAGCGTGTTGTATAATTACACGTTGTATTTTTTTTTAATAGATGCATTAATAATAATGGATACTGATCTTAAATTGTTTGTGGTTGTTGCTTTGGAGTTTTATAGAGGAGGATGAGGAGTAGGGATAGAAAAGCTTGCTAGCGAATCCTTCGGCGGTCGTCGCACGTGTTGTGTGCGAATCGCGTCGTTCGTGGCCAGCATGCTTACGACTTCGTGGTAGTATTGTGTAGGTTGGCTCCATAGTTCGCATCATTCTCAGCCGACCGACGCGATCACCATATGCCGTCGCGACGCTGGCGAAAGCGCGCCGAAGCTGACACAACGCAGCGTTACTTCTCTCGAATTTGCAACAAACATTCGTGATTTTTGTCGTGAACATGACTTGACGAACTTTCGTGTCTAATGCTACGCTTTTACTCCCGTCTCGTCGTTCACTTGCGACGCTATAACACATACGCTAACTTCTCTATTGTATTTATTCAACGTACGTAAGTTTGATTCTGTTGTCAGGTGTTTGCGCGAACAGACTTTTGAAAGTTTCGCACTTGGAAATACGTCAACAAACTTTTGTAAGTTACTTACTGTTTGATGTTTTTGCTTTTCTTAAAACCATTGCGAGTTTCTTTTTAGGGAAAAACATTTAAGAGCAACTCGAATGATTTTAAAACCTGTTGAATAAAGTTTATTAGATATTTGATTTAGACGAAAGGAGGGGTGTCGATAAGCTATGAAAAGTGACCCCTTTAGGAAACTTAAAAAATTTTGTTGTTTGAATAGCATGAGCCTTATACGTAATAAAAAAAATTCCTTTTCCAAATATCTTTTATTGTTTTTTAAACACCACTCAAATAAGTAGCTATGTAACATTGTAAGATATTTTGAATAAAACTTACATTTTTAGGTTTAGCATGCAAAAAAGTGTTTTATTTTACTACGAGTGCATTTTTTTAGCATAATGATTTTTTAACATATTATTCTTTAGACGAGAGCAAATCTAAAAAAACAAAAATCAAAATGCTAAAAGAATGCGCTTATGCTTAAAAACAACTCGATGTAGTAAAAAAGGGTACGATTTTCAAAAAAAAGTAATTTTGACTCTAGTTTGTCAATTGTTCTAGTTAAGAAAAATTAGTAATTTTTGCTTTTAGGTTATTCTAGTATTAAGTTGTCCTGTATTTTCCGAAAAATATAAAAAAATCTAATTAAATTTTTTGTCATATTGGGGTCAATTTTCTTAGCTTATCTATANGTTTTTCTAACTTAAAAGAAATTGCTACCTATGTTCACCCACGCACCCGTTTGTTTGATATGACTGTGTTACTCAAAAAATACGTGGAAAATTGAATTGAAAAAAAATGTTTTCGGTTTTGTGTGAGCCTTAATTATTTCGTGACTTCAGAAATTCCTTTTATCAAAATTTTACGTGGGAAGCATCTGAACCTATATCACGGTTGCAGATCACATGTTGAACTTCTGCATATCAATATATGAGCTGAACTAAATTTTAAATAAAAGAATTACTTTTTGTAGGTTAAAATTAGACATTATTGTTCAGGGAAAGTACCTGCATTCACGTTTCAATTTTATATACATGTTTTTAATACTATTGTAATTTGTCGAGATAGGCACTATTGAATGGAAAATTTGACAAGTCACGGTTGATATTTACTTTTTTTAAACTCACCGAAGTTTTAAATGTATGGTAAATTAAACGAATAAACGCGTTGTAGCCTCCTTTCTAATTTATCTTCTGCAACACAGCACTTACATGTCGAGGTAAATAGTATTCTGTCATAGATTGCTTAAACTTTAGTCCATACATTTAATAAAATAATAATTTTAAAATGTAAATCACGTACCACAAATTATTCTGATATAATCGCGATTTACTTTTTCGGAAACTAAATTGTTTAGGTAGCCTTTGCAATTTATTAATTGCTATAGTGTCAATAAGGTACCCACGTACGTGAAAACATCAATTTGAATTGAATTATATGAATGTGTATGCATTAGGTACTCACTACACTTTCATTCATCATTTCGAACTGTTGTTGTGATGTGTATTGGTATTCTAACCATTTGAAAAAGGTCAATTGAGTTTTAATTTTATAATTAATTTCCATACTCTTTCTTCTACTTCTTGTTAAAAAAATTACAACTCTATATTCTTTCTTTCAAGTCAAAAACCAATTTTATTTGTTTTATTAGTTGATGCCCTAAATACGTGTCAGAGATCGTCGACGACCGCTTTAAATTATTTTTTCTTTTCCTCAGGAACAGTAATTTTTTTCTGAATAAAAGGTTCCTTATGTCAATTTTTGTATCCCTGAGAATGTGTGTACAAAATTTCATGATACGTTTTACCTGCTGCTTCGCTCTCATCGATTTCCTAAATATGTATCAAAGAATATCGACGGCTACATAAAAATATTTTTCTCTATCCCTGGAAAACAGTATTTTTTTCTGGATTAAGTGCACCCTATGTCCCTTTCCGTACCCCTGACAATGTGTGCACAAAATTTCATGACGATAGTTAAGGAATGAAATGGTAGCAAACAAACAAACTCATATTCGCATTTATAATATTACTTAGGATTCAACAATGCTTCTAATGCCGATAAGAGGCTATGAGGATCCTTTTCAACTGGCTGCAACCTCTTTTTACCTTAAGGTAGCCCCCAATCAGCTATCGAAACGTTGGCGAATTGTCAATATTTTTTTACTTTAGTGATTTCGAAATTGTATTCTTTTCAACTTAGAAATATCCGGGGTAAAATAAGTAAATCTAATTTCTTAATTTCTGCTAACGTACTGGTAATTTTAACGTATTTTATCCGGTGCACGTTCATCCTTCTTGCATCGCTATAAGAGGTCACCTATTTGTAAGGTCATTCGCAGAAATGAGCATATATATTTCAACCCTTTTCAATTTTTAAGGTAACACTCCTTTCGGCTCGTTGAAAACAGAAATTTAGGAGGTATCTAATGAAATTTGATCGTCAACAAATAACCTAAAATTGACAGTATGAACTTCTTCGCGTAAATTCGCACCCCGGCCAGTATTAGGAGCAGCTCTATACGGTGATATTTAAATCATCATCATAAGGTTGTCAGTCCTAAGACTTGTTGGACACGCATCTCCACTCTTTCCTATTCTGAGCTAATCTTCGCATTTCTCTAAAACTAGAACATCCCAGATCCTTAACTATTTGCGAACAGTAATCTAATCTAGGTCTACCTTTATCCCTCTAACCCTTCATGCCTGAGATGGTGTCCTACCAATCTATCTCTCCTATTTCTTATTGATTTCCATAGAGTTCTCTGTTCTCCTTCGTTCTAATACTTCTTCATTTTTAATCTTCTCTATCCACGGTATCCTCATTCGCCTGCAACACCACATTTCGAACGCTTCTAACCTTTAAATATGAAATCGAAAAAACTGTTTAAACAAATGTAAAATAATAATGATTATTTATTTTATATAATCATATCACTTGATGAGAACATGTAGCAATCTTATTGGAAAGGAAAATCAACTTCAGGAAGCTTTTTTTTTAAATTCATACTTTGCGTAATATTCTGAGAACGATTTCGATTACTATACTATGCTGAAAGTAAGGATTTTTTTTAACTTTATTGGAATGCGTTAATGTATTTATGAGTAACGCAGCATGTAAAGGTAGATTTATAGAACCGGCCGTGCCAAAATTATTAGAACAAATCAATTTCGATGCTTTTGTAAATTCAATGACAAACAACAGGGTTTTATTTTGCTTTCTATACCCATTCGTATAATATACCAGTGTTCTGCCACTGCTTTTTGTTGTTCACATTTTAGTAAACGTGTAATTAATTTTCTGGAATAAATGCAAACTATTTGGTATTAATAAAGTTCATTATTATTAGCTTTGATAATTTTGATCATATAGGTAGTACTTTTTATGAAATGAATTTTTTTGTAAAATAATATATTTGGGCTTTGAAAAGACAAAAAAAGTGAAACGTTTATGGTTATATTAATAAAATTCAGTATATACACCTTTAAAGGAACAGAGTTTGATTTACTTTTTCTATTTTATGGATCTCATATTTTCTATAGAAAAAATTGTTATTTATGTATGTTAAGTGCCATTAACATTTTAGGTGTAGGTATTCTACTTCCTAATAGTGCTTAATAATAGCAGTGAAACAATTCTAATAATTTTAAAAAAGAAGTTATTTGTTTGTTCAAAGTTTATTGGGTATCTGTTGACTTACAATTCGTTTGTTGTTGCGTTTTTCTAACTTAAAAGAAATTGCTACCTATGTTCACCCACGCACCCGTTTGTTTGATATGACTGTGTTACTCAAAAAATACGTGGAAAATTGAATTGAAAAAAAATGTTTTCGGTTTTGTGTGAGCCTTAATTATTTCGTGACTTCAGAAATTCCTTTTATCAAAATTTTACGTGGGAAGCATCTGAACCTATATCACGGTTGCAGATCACATGTTGAACTTCTGCATATCAATATATGAGCTGAACTAAATTTTAAATAAAAGAATTACTTTTTGTAGGATCTGTAGATTTTGAATCTGCTAATTTATCATGCTAATAGATAGCATATTCGATTCAGCAGCAATTAACTACAAGGGAGAAGATTATTCGATTTCTGACAATCTATAGGTTCTACATAATATTTCTATCCAACTTCCCGAAGCACTCCGGACGTAAACTAGTCCCCTATTCGGATATCCAGGTGGCAGTACCTCGGGGGATGTTGTCAATAGGTGCAATGGGGAAAGGTGCAGTATTTCACGAATCGGGGCGTGGAATGTTAGAACCATGAGGCAAGTAGGGAAATTAGAGAATTTCAAGTTGAAATGAATAGGCTAGAATTAGATATGGTAGGCATTAGTGAAGTCCGTTCGCCAGAAGCTGGAGGTTTCTGGAGTGGAGACTTTAGAATAATACACTTAAAAATGCAATCATGAATTACAGAGATATAGGAATGATATTTTGTATGTTTGTATAAAGAGCAACAGCCGGTTATAGCAGAGCCGGGCAAACTCGGCTCTTTTGCATCCCGAGTGCTCCTCAAGGTTAACCAAGTAGATCCTCATTGATCCTGCGAGTGCTAGTAAGATGATTCTTTCAACCCAATAGTTTTGCGAACGTAGTAACGAAAATTTTCGTAGATATTATTTAAGTTGCGAGAGTGGTTTCGCTCGTCTACGGGATGAAGGGGCTTGATATGGGAGTGGAAGGGAGAACAAAAAGACAAAACAAAAATTATTCATTACTGCTTACTCTCTCGTACTCATTGAAGGATATGGAGTGACTCAAACTAACCTCATGTAGCGGCTCCTGCAAAGTTAAAGTTTGCCTGGCTCTGGGTTATAGAGCTGGAGCAACAACGTAGAGAAGTAAATATTAGGAAAGGAGTCAGATAAGGATGCACTCTGTCACCGCTACTTTTTAATGTATACATACAAGACGCGATCAACATCATTAAAGACGGTAAAACTGTAGGAAAAGGTATACAGGAGCAAAAGATTAGTATACTTACAATTAGATTTGCAGATGATATA